CCTGAGTGTTGCAGTAGCCATGCCATCGAACTCGAGCTGGTGGCCCTGAATGTACGGGCTGAGGTGGCACTCTAAAATGTGTCGACGCAACTCTTGGGCCTCGTCCGCTACGAACTCACATAAACGGCAGTGTGAAATCATCATCCTGATCTCATTCCCTGATCTTGCACGGTCTACACATAGTCCTCTCTCGAACGCCCTGTGCATGTGCTTCTGCGCCTGCGCGTACGTGGTGAAGACCGTGCCGCAAATCGTGCACATATTGCTGAAACATGTGACTCTAAACAATATTCTCTTGCCATGCGTGCCGCCCTTCGTGTGCACGTAGTGAGAGCACAGCCTCGCTCGGTCTGGGAAACGTGCCTGGCACGGTCTACCCGCGTGATCTTCTGCCCAGCACTGGAACTCCCCGCCTACTTGACACTGTGCGTGCTCAGGCTCGTGCTCGGCTCTATGGTGAATGAAGTGCGCTCGCATGCCCGTCAGATTTAGCTTGATGAACTCTTCCCTACCCTCCAAGATCGCCCGGCGTGGATCGTGATCATAATACGATAAGAAAGTGTCGCCGTCCTCGTACGACGCCAGTTCCTGAACATCTTGGAGCCACTGCTGGGCCCACGGGTTCAACTTAGCCTCTGGGTCCAGGAACGAAGGCGTTTCCATGTCCCCGCTCTTGAGATTCCCGAAAACAACTCCCAGTAGCTGATCGGCCGACTCGGGATCGGCCATCAAACTCTGTAACCACTTAAGCCTCCTCATGCGGGCCTCCACAAATATACTGGCGCTCCCGAGCCTCGCGAGGACCTCGAGGTTGCTGGGTGCCCTCTTGGACCCATCCTCCCTGGTGGCCGCGACCCCTCCTAGAACGACTCGCCCTCTCCTCGCCACATAGCTCTCGAGCCCCGCGAAGTCCTGGACCTTCATAGGGCCCTGGGGCTTGACGAACGTTTCAATGCCCGAGATCACCGCGTTGACGACGTATCCCTTGTAAATCGAAACTTTCCACCTCTGGGAAACATTCGAGGTCCAGAAATTGCCCATGGAGGCCCAGGCTGCTTTTCCTGCGCGAATGCGGTACCCCATCTCGATCTGCACCGAGAATCTCGCTGTCATTCGTACTCCTAAATATCTAGCTGCTGCTGCTGCATGTCCCTCAAACACCCCGTCCGCTAAAATCATCTTTTCCAGATAGTACGCCCCTCGCCCACAACAGTATGGGACCGTCTCCTGCTTCGAAATGTTCTGGCCCAGCCCCATCTCGTTTAATGCCTGTGAAATCTCGATGTTTTGCCTCTTGCCCTCCACCACCGCCTCCCCCTCAGTCTTGAACTTGAACGTATCAGATATATCATCAACAAATAACCTCATGGCCGCCTGCTCCTGTCTCCCTGTCCATGGTGAAGTAACCTCAATACATGTTCTCGCCTTCAGTGCGTATTTTTCGAGCCCCCGAACGTAAGCCATAACGAATAGAAATACCATAGCAGGGTCGCCAGGCATGCATCCCTCTCGAATCCACAGCATCTGGTCGGTGGTATCGGAGAAGACAAAGTGCGCGTGCTTCACGCGATCTATCATCATTGTGATGTGCTCGTGCCTCATGTGGGCGCACACGACCTGCAACAGCTTACCCGTCTTCACCGAGAAAAATGCGTTCGACGCGTCATGGAGCCTCTTGGCGTGCTGGACTCCTGCGGCCTTCAACCTCCATGCCCCGCATAGTTGGACCACTATGGCTCCTTCCCGTCGTCGATGTTTCAGTGCTCCATAAGCCCATGACGGTGCTCCTGTGATATCTGCTCTCATCATGATGTGTCGGTAGTAAAACTTTGCCAGGCTGCATATAACCATGACCACTCGCTCTCCGTCAGCCCCCTCTTTATCGTTCCCCTTGTCTATCTTCGCCGCCTTCGCTCTCAACCAGTCTACTGGAAATCTCTGCGTAATCATAATAGCCTCCACCATCTGACGCACGTACATGTAAAAAACTGGCGTGCAGAGGTTCTCACACTCACTTTCGTGCCCAACGCCAGTACGCTGAACCATCATCTTCTCATTCACCCACTGCGGGAAAAAAAGACATCGTAATAGCTCTACACTCGAACTCCATTCTGGATAACTTCTCCACAGCCGTGCTTTCCATATCGCTCTCTTGATCCCCTGCATCTCCTCCTCAACTTCCTCGGCAGTAACCTCCTGTCGTACCGCTCGTCCTCTTCTGGCCTGCATATCTGCGATGGTTGTCTCAACTGCCGAACATCCTCCATCTGGCCCATTTCTTTTCATCTTTTCCGTCCAGGCCTCGTTGGAACCTGGCACATGGTGTCGCCCGTACACTCGCTTGCGTCCTCCTCGTCTCCTCTGGGCCAACATCCTCGCCATCTTGTGCACTGTGTAGAAATCGTTCGACTTGACCGCTCTCATGAACTCCTCGCACCTCAACTCCTCGATCTCTCGCCAATACTTCTGCCGTTGCTGTCTCAACCATCTGCTGATTCGCCGCAGCCTGACAGTCAGCTGCAGCGCCTTCATCTCGTGGTCGAGGGACTCATCTCCTTCCTGCCGGGAATCGAAATCTGGCGGGGCATTCCTGCCTGTTTTCTTCACAACTCCGCGCGGCCTCCCTCCTTCCTGCCTGCTTTCTTCACTCAAAAATTGGAACTCCGAACGAATGTTGCGACGCTCCCACAGCAGCTGTCGAACCTCCTTGGCGTGTGCCTTGTGATCCTCGGTGTAGCCTCTTGTCGTCGTGCACCATTTGGTGGCCGCATTCTCGATCGCCTTGTGGATCGTTGAATTCACAAAGTCTGGTATGTCCTCCCACATCGTAGCAGCAAGCTCTTCCCGCCGCTCACGAAGTTCAGACTCCACATGTTGTACAAATGCCCGACGGTTGTCGCCGAGCTGAAGCATCTTCGCCATGCTCACCCTGTCAAGCTTCACCCTCTTGTCCTCAGCGTAGGGCTCGGCGACCACTTCCAGTGCAAACGAAGCTGCGACGGGCACGTGGTCCCAAATCCCGCTGAGGTTGTGCACCTGAAGTCTCCATGCGCTGGATGTGAGCGTACGACACCATCTGACTGCGCCTATCCATGTCTGGGGCACCATCAGGTAGTCCAGCGTCTTGGCGACTCCCTTGTTGAAATATGTCGGTCCCCCCCGTGCAAAATGCGTGTTGACCACGGCCAGCTCGTGAGCCATGAGCAACGGGGCGACCTGCTCCGTGGTGAATGTGAAGCTGCCTAGGTTGTGCAACCCTGTGACCCCTTCGACGTTGCTGAACTGCGCGTTCATGTCGGTGCCGATGATCGGGGCCCATCGAGCCGAGGTTGCCGCTAATAACTCTGTCATCCATCCCACCATCGTGCGAATCGTCCTCTCCCAGCGTTCTCGCGGAGCTCGTCCTCGATTGGGGCAGGGAGGGAAGTACAGTGCAACCAATAGCAGCCTCAACGGCCCCCGCTCGATCTTACATGCTGCTACCCGTCCTCGTAAACCTCTGGGTACTGGGATGAAGCCTCTTATACAACATTTCGGGAAACGTCGACTCTGAACCCATATACTCAATCCACAACTTTTATTCACATGCTGACTGCTATGCCAACCCCATTCCATTGCCCAGTGCGTCCTGGTGGTGGCGATGGGCTCCAGCAGGTCTCCGCTGGTCCTCCTCTGGGTCCCGATGAGGAAGATGAAATCTATGTTGCTCAACTCCTCTATCACATCCTGGGAGCGGCTCTTGTTCGCGCTGAGCGGATTATAGACGCAGAACGAGACCCCGCCACTGGGCCGCCCAGATCCATCATCGAGCCCCGCTGACTGTGTGGCATGCATTCTACACGCCTCAAGAGGTGGCAAGTTGGGGGGGAGCCCCCCCGATTCGAGAAGATGGCCACCTTCCTCCCCCTCCTCCTCCTCCTCCTCCTCCTCCTCCTCCTCCTCCTTCACCACCACATCCTCCTCCTCCTTCTCCTCCTCCTCATACTCCGCCTCCTCCTCCACCTCATCATCATCATCATCAGCATCATCATCATCATCTTCTTTCGCATTTCAGTATGGTTATTATTATTAGTATTACTATGGGTATTATTTATTATTATTATTAGTATTATTATTATTATTATTTTCACTATTATTAGTATTATTATTATTATGATTATTAGTATTATTATTTTTATTATTAGTATTATTAGTAGTAGTAGTAGTAGTAGTAGTAGTAGTAGTAGTAGTAGTAGTTGTAGTATGACTATTATTGTTATTATTATTATTCTTATTATTATTAGTATTACATTTGGACTTTCATTGCTTTCGATTTATATTGCGTTTATTGATTCTATGGGAGGATTTTTTTTTATAGTTAAGTTTTGATTGGATATTTTTAGTTTGAGTATGAGTTATTATTTATTATTTACTATTACATTTCTATGATTAGTTTTTCTTAGTATTATTATTTGGTAATTAAATTATTACTATTATTATCATCATTCAATATCCTGCTCCTCCTCCTCCTGCTCTTCACCACCACCACCACCTCCTCCTCCTCCTCCTCCTCTTTCTTCTTCTTTCTCCTCCTCCTGGCCTGCCGCCTGCTCCTCCTCCTCCTGCTCCTCCTCCTCCTCCTCCTCCCTCCCTCCTCCTCCTCCTCCTCCTCCTCCTCCTCCTCCCCCCCCTCATCCATCGCTCTCCTCCCTCTTCCTCCCCTCCTCCGCCTCCTCCTCCTCTCCGCCTCTCTCTCCTCCTCTCTCCTGCTCCTTCACCACCACCACACCTCCTCTCCCTCTCCTCCTTTTTCTTCTCATCCTCCTGCTCACGCTCCTGCTCCTGCTCCTCCTCTCCTCCTCCTCCTCCTCTTCCTTCTCCCCGCTCCTCCTCTCATCTTTATGTCTCTTCTTCTTTCTTCTTCTTCTGCCTCCTCCTCCTCCTCCTCTTCCTCCTCCTCCTTTTCCTCCTCCCCCTCCTCCTCCTTCCCGCGCGGGAAAGGGCGAGCGGCGGCAGCTCTCCCGCGCCCGCAAGCCCGCCCCTGCGGCGGAGCCGGCGGCAAGGAGCCCCGCCAGCGCGGCCGCCGCGAGGGCGCCGGGCCGCCGCGGCGCCTTCATTTCTGCGACGGGGCGCGAGCTGAGCTGGTGGGCTTGTTTTCCACCGCCACCATCATAAGTAGCTGGGGGAGGGGGTCCTCCTCCTCCTCCTCCTCCTCCTCCTCCTCCTGTCTCCTCTCCTTTACAACTCCTCCAATCCTCCTCCTCCTCTCTTCCTCCTCCTCTTTCCACCTCATCCTCTCCTCCTTCTCCTCCTCCTGATGCGGCTCATCCCTTTTACTCTCCTCCTTCTCCTCCTCGTCCTCGTCCTCGTCCTCCTCCTCCTCCTCCTCCTCCTCCTCCTCCTCCTCATGATCCACCTCCTCCACCCCTCCAACTTATTGTGGTGTTGGTGGGACACAGGCCCAACATGAGCGGCGTCTTCCGTTTCCGTTGTGTGCTCGTGTTAGGGAGCTGGACTCTCTCTATATATATATGTATATACGCCGACGCTTCACCCGGCCCCGCACGGAAGCTTGCACAGGAGTGCGGATCGTGGTGCATCAAGGATCCCGGTGAATGCCTTTGTCGCTACTTCCCCGGGAAGGCGGGGAAACCAATATACACCACACCACCCCGACGTCGTCCCCGACCCTCAACGAGTCCTGCTGACATTTCGTTCTGTGCTCATGTGGTCTCCTGTCCGCCCTTGGCCTGAAGAAGAAACGACGGCATACACCTCACTTTCTGTTTGGCGCTCCGCCCGGATTTCTTGGATCTGCGCTGGCCCCCCCCTCCCCAGCGCGCGGAGCGCGCCAGAGGCGGCGCCGGAGGCGCCTGCAACACGAAAGCGGTCAGGAGTAGCAGTAGTAGTAGTAGTAGTAGTAGTAGTAGTAGTAGTAGTAGTAGTAGTACTAGTAGTAGTAGTAGTAGTAGTAGTAGTAGTAGTAGAAGTAGTAGTAGTAGTAGTAGTAGTGGTGGTGGTGGTGGTGGTGGTGGTGGTAGTAGTAGTAGTAGTAGTAGTAGTAGTAGTAGTAGTAGTAGTGGTAGTAGTAGTGGTAGT